TCGACATCGGGTGGGTGTGCAGGGCCTTTGAAAGCGAAACAGGAAGTTCCATTAAGTTCCATTTATGTAGAGGGGAAGAACAAGGAGAGCGGAGAACAAAGTCAGCACGACAATTAAGAAGTGGGAGGGTGAGGGTGGGTGGACGAGTGATGGGGGGGGATTTCATGAGATTATCCTATAAATAGTGTGGCATTTCTTTAGTCATCAGCGGCGGTATGTAGCTCTGGCACACAACCGATACAACTTTGTGAAATAAAAAAAAAAGAGCTGTGGGCTAATACCTCTGCACAAGTTAATACCATTCTCCATGAGACTTTGTGAGTTGCTGAGCAGGATTTGATGAAGTTAATCACGGCAGTGTGGGAAGAAAAAGAAAATGTGATTTTTTTACCAAATGCTTGTTTTATTCATGCCATGGTGTACGATCATCGGTCTGGTGGGAGTCTTTTGTGATCTTAGCTTTGACGGATGCAAAGACAAATTGACCTTCACGTAGGATTGCATGGAGCATGTTTTCTTTCTAGAGGAGCAGAGTGGGTATGCAGCACATGGCAGAGGGATGGCACCTCTCTGCTGAGCTCTTGACCCTCTGAGCTTACAGTTCTTGTTTTTCCTACATTTTAACATGTTTCTTAATCTACCAGAGAGAGCAGGCGTTTGCTCTTTTACTACAAATCAAGTATAAGAAACATATTTCCATTATCAAACACGTGCAGTACATTTTTTTAATCAATTGCGCAGAGGTGAGCAAAGTGGACAAACACTGTGCTTTAGCCTAAATATGGATACTTAATAATAACATATTTAAAGGGCATTTATTTTTTATACTTTATTTTTCATTTTTGTTTTACAAGAAACACAGAACAAATGAGGACTAGGGCAAGACAGTATTAATAAGATCAAATACAAGAATGTAAAAGGCACAGGTACAGTACATAATTTTTGGTACATTCTAATGAATAAATATATTTTTACGGGTCTTCATCTTTGTATAAATTCCATTTTCTCCAATATTCTTCTCCCTTCTCCTTTTGAAGTGGCAGGACAAACATTTCTGTATTCTTAAACCTTGGCCCACTCTTCACATTGTTTGGGGGTCTAAATGGCTAAAAGGTGGCAAAAGTTTTAGAGCTGCAACAAAATCCTTCAGTGCAAAAGCACCTGATCAAAGCTTATCAACCAAAAGGCTTTTTTTTTATTTTGCTACCGACAGACTGACAAACTGTCTAATAATAAGAAGAAATGGATCACTTCAGAAACAGACCTCCTCACCATCCTATGGTCACCTGACCCAGGGTCGGGTGTTTTTTTCCCAACAGGTGAGCTCTGATGAGTCAGTCAGTCTGTTAGGTACACAGACGAGATACAAGATGAAAGAAACTGAGATACTTTACCAACAACCAGAGACACAAAAAAGACATAAAATACAGCAAAATGTCAAATAAAGCCCTAAATGTTCAGCAGTGCTGCACACACATACAGACTGCAGCAACACTGTCTGCTGTGCAGTGTGTGTCATCCCTGTCCCCGTCCTGTCATACCCGCTGTCAGTCTTCAGACACCCCTATTCATGTTCTGCCAGGGTCCTGTGCTCCACTCAGCTCCCACGCTCCCCCTGGCAGTATGCTAAAGCAAACCATGCAAACTGTCACATCCATCTGATGTCAGAACAGCTCTCCAGCCACCTACTGTCACTTTGAGTCTGGGTAATTAACACACAACCTTTCTCTCTTCCTGCTGGAGGAGCAGCGGCAGGGGCTGGGACGAGCATGTGCAGAGCGATGGTAGATCTAGTGCAGCTCGGTTTCAGACCCATGTGGAGAAATGGCTCGCTGGCATTCTGCCTCTAATTTAAGATGCCCTACTTCCTTCCCATGATGCCTCAGGGCTTCAAGGGAATCGGAACCAGCGATGTACTCATTCAACAGCGCTTTTTATTTTTTTATTTTGTCAGGCCCACAGAGTTGATGTTGTAGAGTCTGTAGTCTAACCGAGACGGTCCCTATAATAATGTTTTTACGTCAGAGGAAAGAAGAAGTTCACAATTGGTCAATAAGTTTGTTGCTCACTGATTTTATCTCAATGGCCCAGAAGGCGAGGGGTACACAGATTCAGATTACTGGCAGGATCAAGTGAAGGTCAGTTTTTAATGTTTTCATTCAAGTTGTTGAAAAGTGATCAGAAAGTCATTTCGATGGGATAATCCACAACGTTTGTAATTCTTCAAGAAATCTCTTCAAGTCAACGATGATATATTCCAATGCTGTTAGACTTTATCAAGTGAATGATCAAAACTCAGGCGTGTGTAAAAAAAAAAAAAAAAAAGCTTAGTACCTGGAGAGCAGAAGACCCACCGGGACGAGAGGGGCTCCATCTGTATGGGACTTGGGTTGTGAACCAGAGAGTCGCTGGTTCAAGTGCAGACCAAAGTGTGGAAGTCGGTCTGGTTGCTGGAGAGTTGCCAAATCACTTCCTGAGAACTGCAGAGGTGCCCTTGAGCAAGCCAACAAACCCCTCTCTCAATAACAGAACGGAAACCAGAAATTCTCCTCAGGGATTAATAAAGTATAAAAATGTCTCAAGGTATACAAACAGACTTGCCTTCAACAGAAGTGCTGTGAGAGGCATTTTGGAGTAAAAATCTGAACTAAGGTGAGCTCACAGGATTATCTCAGATGTTATAATTCTTTTTAAGATTTTAAAGACATTAAACATATTTATAGTGATTGTAACGAGAGCCGCAATGATGGAAGTACAAGACTTAAATCACCTCTAATCACACAAAAAAATCTGTAAAAATATTTCTTTCCATAGCTTAAAAAATAGTTGTCCTGTGTCATTAAGTGTTTAAATCATAAATTGGGACGCACATCTACACACACACACACACACACACACACACACACACACACACACACACACACACACACACACACACACACACATCTACACACACGTACACAAAGTCAGACCTGCACATTCCTTCATGATGGTCCTCAGTGGTCCAGCAGCAAAGACCAGACCCACCGGGATACCTGCCAGGTGACCAACAGAAGAGAACAATTATCTTTAACTTGTGAAACACTGCCATCTGGTGGACACTTTGATTAATAGCATCTGACTGTATGTAGTAACAGGTCAAGTGTTGGGAGTTAAGAGTCCAGTTGGACCTGAGCTCAACATGTTAAAGGCTCCTGGTAGAGAGATCCAATATCATCTCAAGAAACTTTGCAAGAAGACACCAGCATCTTTGTAATACTGAGGGATGTGTGTTGGGTCATGGAGGATTTCGCTAGCTGTGTTGATGAATCCTCTACATGAATATGAAGAATATGAAGGGGTCAGAGACATCATAGGGAATCCAATCTTCTTGAAACATGTACTGGTTTCCTATATTCTAGATGGTCTTTAAATATAACACTCTATGAAGCAGTTGGAGATGGATCCTGAACCCAAATGAATCATCATCTTTATTGACAGACTCAGGAGTCCATTAGAGAACAGATGAAACAAACCAGATAAAAACCCAATGTAAAACCAAACAAGGTAAAAAGACAAACAGACAAAACACCACCATATTGACACACACTGGAGGAAGTTTACTTAGCAGTTATTCATGAACCACTAAAATGCATACCATCAATGAGGTCTTCCATCTTCTGAGTAAGTGTCAGGTGTCCAGAGGGAGACGGGCTCTGACGGACTGAGATGTGTGGAGAGATGCTGAGTTGTTTCATCAGCCGTTATTAAAAACAGTGACAGAGCAGAGTGGAGCGGAGGTTTAAACATCATGAGCAGTGTGGTTAACTTGTGCGTTGTTAAAACAAATACAGTCCGGTTTGACCTTTAAAACATTTTTAACACTAAGTGCACTCAAGCAGAGTCATAATTATCCAGATTCTCAGATTCAATCATGATTCACTTTAATCTTTTTGTTTGTATCCAGATTTTTACATGCTGTAATGGGGGAGAGAGAATACTGGAGAGAGAGAAAATGCGCTCTCTCATATGTTCCTGAAATAAACATTTTCTTGTTATACTTGTTTGTTAGCTTATGTCCTCTTCTTATCCTTCAAAAGGCAAATGTAGGGGGCGCTGGTGGCACGGTGGTTGGTGCAAGCGCCCCATGTGTGGAAGCTGTGGTCCTCGGGGCGGGCAGCCCAGGTTCGAGTCCAGCCTGTGGCTTCTTTCCTGCATGTCGTTCCCCACTCTCTCTCCCTGGTTTACCATCTCTATCCACTCTCCTATCTCTCCATTAAAGGCACAAAAAGCCCAAAAATAAATCTTAAAAAAAAAAAAAAAGGGCAAATGTAGAGTTGATCCCACGATGTTTTACTGCACATGAGCTCAGGGGAGCTGTTGGGTGGGAAGATGGCAGGGTATCATTTAAATATAATTCCCTTTTATGTAAAGGGAAAAGTCAAAGATCTTTGAGTCAGACTCCAATACATCACACTGGTTCCTACATCGGGGACCCTGGGGAGGTTGTTTTGGCCCTGTAAGACATGCTGCTGGTTTCTATCAGGTGAACCAACTTTTATTATTCAGATTCATCTCATGAAAACATCCAGTTTAACATTTAAACTACAGCTTCATATCTGCTTGAAGATGGCCCACATGGTTTTTCAATGATGCTTTATGCTTTAAGCAGCAGAAAAGGGGGGGGGGGGGAGTGCCAGTGGACAAGTGGTTGTCTCATGCGTCCCATGTGCAGAGGTTCAAATCCGACCTGCGGCTCTTTCCCGCATGATTTCCCCCACTCTCTCTCTCTCGCCCAATTTCCAACTCTATCCACTGTCGCCTCTCTCTCTCCAATAAAGGCACAAAAACCCATCTTCATACAACATCTTCAGAGATTTCAAATTGGAGAGATGGGAAAACTTTTTCCTAAGTGTGAGAACACAGAAAGGCTGATTCCACAGTTTTTTTTTTCCATCTAGACCCCGGATCAAAAGACACCAGGCGGGTCGCAGTTCTCAAATCAGACGTAGACAGTCAGATGTGATTGAATATAGAAAACATTTTATATAGTTACATTTTTACAACGATGCTTTTCAAATTGAAAACAGTAAGAACTCATTTAATATGTTTTAAGTTCCTGTTTCTAATCTTGAATTGATTGAAGAAATTACCTTTTTGAATAGTTTTCCCTTTTTTTTTTGCTTTAAATTCAGCAAACTGGAAAGTGAACTTCACTGCTGCGCCCAAAGCCGCTCATTAACATATATGAACTTTGTAGTTATAACACACAAGCAGCTTTCTAAGGCAGACATGAACTCTTTGGTAACACTCAGACCAACGTGACATCACCGCTCCACACAGCCAATGAGCTGCTTTATGTGTCACACTGTGTGGTTTGACCTTCTCATTCAGGCCGCTCTACTTCAGCATGTCAAAGTCTTAAGTTAGTCTTCAGGAAAGACTTCTTCTTCTTCTGTTCTGTCACGTAAAAACCTTCTTCCAATTGGCTGCTGAGCAGATCAGCTGTCAAACCTCCTCAGTCTCCGCATCCTGATATCCTCAGCGCTGGCCTCCGGTGGCAGGTGGAAACCGTAAGGAGGAGGAGGCGGAGCTCCTCTCTGATTGGTTTGTCCTGAAACAAAACAATGCAGGATTTAAAAAAAAACTTAAAACTGAAGCTGAATTGTAAAAAGTTTTAGGAGTTCAGTGTCACTCTGACCCCTCCTCTTCTCCCTCACCCCTCTCATTCAGACTGTTTCTGATGGCTGCCTCTAGCTGCTCTTCCTCCGTCATTCCTCCTGAGTAAGATGATGAAGGAGGTGATGCATCATTGGGTGCATACTGATGGTGTCCTGAGTATCCTCCACCAGTGCTTCTGTAGCCTGGACGGAAAGGCAGGACGCAAAACACACACACACGCACACACACATTAAACACAAAGAAAGAAAGAAAATGAAAAATCAAAAAATTGACGATTTCTACTAAAGGTGTCAAATTTTCAAAAGTGATGTAGTTCATTTTAAATTACTTTTGAGTTTTTCTGCAACTTGATCTGTTCTGTGTAACGACTGTATAAATTAAGTGTACATAGCCCTTCATACTTTTACAGACTTGCTTTTATGTGATGTCGTCTTCTAAATAATCGTAATTCTGAGCATATCACAAAATTTTTAAAAACCACGATGAAATCCAATCGTGACTCAAGTGTGGTGATGATATCATATCGAGGGGCCTGTGGTGATTCCCACCCCGAGTGATCACACCCAGGTTACATAAGTTCAAAGTCCTGTAATGCAGATCAATGCTTTGTTAATCTCTGGAGGAGCATACTGTGTGTAAGTTAAATAACTTTGTGTGAGCGTGCAGTACCTGAAGAGCCTGAAGAGCTGAAGTTCACACCGGGCCGGGAGTTATATCCGTTTGATGTCACGAGCGCTGGATTCATGAAAATATGCAAACATGATTCTAAACTGAGGTACACAGCTTTGCACATGGGCCGCTGTGGCTCAGTGGTAAAGTCGGTCGTCTCTCGATGATGAGGACTCAGAAGACTAGAAAAGCTATACAAGCTCAAGTCCATTTAGCATTTACATGCTCTCAAAGATGTCACTGGTGTTTTAAATTCTTAAGAGTAACTTCAATAAACAATACTGATGAAGACTGAAAGTCAGACCTGCACATTTCTTCATGATGGCCTTCAGTGGTCCAGCTGTGTAGAGCAGACCCACCAGGATACCTGCCAGGTGACCAACAAAAGAAGTCCTGGAGAAGAAGAGAATAAGTTATCTTTAACTTGTGAAACACTGCCATCTGGTGGACACTTTGATTAATAGCATCTCACTGTAAGTGGTTACAGGTCAAGTGTTTGAGAGTCAGACCTGAGCTCAAAATGTTAAAGAGGTCTGATAGAAAGGTTTAAATGTTTCTGTCAGGGTGAGATATTGTTCTATGACTTTAAACAAAGTACTCCTGTGCTTCTCTTTCTCTTTCTCTTCAGTGTTTCTCAAAATCAGCTCTCTGGTCTTTAAAATCTTCTCATACTCTCTGGTCTTTCTACAGAAACCCCGGTTTTAAAAGACTTGGTTGAACTCGTCCATTCAGCATGTGTTGGCAGTGCTAGTGTGCATCATCATGCATTAAATGGAGGGTTGATGCTGCTACGGTTAGCTAATGGATTCTGCATTTTGGTGAAAAAAGCTCACCCAGGTGAAGTTATGTGGATCAGCACGAGCTCAGCCCAGCTAGCGTATTGATTGGACACAGGGAACCCCATCACATACGTCACTCCTCCAGGGTTGTAATGGTTATTGAGCACCTTCAGCGCGAACAGGACGCCTTGAAACACAATGAACCAACCGTTAAAAGAAGGAGAAAAGAACTGTGTTCAGACACATCAATGTTGTATCGCTTTAGGAAAGAAAAAACGCAGAAAAAGCAACAAGAATGAAAAAACAAGACAACAAATGTACAGAAATGAAGTGAAGATGACACAAAAACGCTGCTTGGATAAATATAATTTATAACAATTAAATGTAACTCCGTCATAAAAGAAAACTTGTTAAAGGATAACATTTAGTCTAACAAATAAAACATGTAAAACATTTGCTTTTTGAACTTTTATCTTTATAAATACTTTGCTGTATTTCTATGAAATAAGACTCACAGACTCCCTCAATTCTTTTAAATCTCTTCTTAAAACGTACTTTTACAGACTTGCTTTTATGTGATGTCGTCTTCTTAATGTCTTCTCTTACTGGTTTTACTATTTTTATCTTCTTTTACTTCTTACTGTCCTTTTATTTATGCTCTTATCTTAACTCCTCTTATGTTTTAACTTGGTCATTTCTTATCTTACTTTGTCTATTTATGTTTTATATTTATATTTACTTTTTATTTTTATTAATATTATATTTTTTGTTTGTTTGATCCTTTAACCACTTGTTTCTATTTCTTTTTCTGCTCTTACCTTCTTATTGCTGTTATCTTTTTATTTGCTTTTATCTCTTTTAGTTTCTTACATCTTTTTAAATCTTTGCTCCTCTTGGTCTCAGCTTGTGATGGTTCTTATGATGGTTCTTGTGATGGTTCTTGTGATGGTTCTTGTGATGGTTCTTGTGATGGTTCTTGTGATGGTTCTTATGATGGTTCTTGTGATGGTTCTTGTGATGTTCTTATGATGGTTTTGTGATGGTTTGTGATGGTTCTTGTGATGGTTCTTGTGATGGTTCTTGTGATGGTTCTTATGATGGTTCTTATGATGGTTCTTGTGATGGTTCTTGTGATGGTTCTTGTGATGGTTCTTGTGATGGTTCTTGTGATGGTTCTTGTGATGTTCTTATGATGGTTCTTGTGATGTTCTGTGATGGTTCTTATGATGTTCTTGTGATGGTTCTTATGATGGTTCTTATGATGGTTCTTGTGATGGTTCTTATGATGGTTCTTGTGATGGTTCTTAAGATGGTTCTTGTGATGGTTCTTATGATGGTTCTTAAGATGGTTCTTGTGATGGTTCTTGTGTTGCCTGGGTTCTTATGATGGTTCTTATGATGGTTCTTATGATGGTTCTTGTGTTGCCTGGGTTCTTATGATGGTTCTTATGATGGTTCTTGTGATGGTTCTTATGATGGTTCTTGTGATGGTTCTTGTGTTGCTGGGTTTTTTGATGGTTCTATGATGGTTCTTATGATGGTTCTTGTGTTGCCTGGGTTCTTATGATGGTTCTTATGATGGTTCTTGTGATGGTTCTGTGATGGTTCTTGTGATGGTTCTTGTGATGGTTCTTATGATGGTTCTTATGATGGTCTTCATGATGGTTCTTATGATGGTTCTTATGATGATTCTTGTGATGTTCTTATGATGGTTCTATGATGGTTCTCATGATGGTTCTTATGATGGTTCTTATGATGATTCTTGTGATGGTTCTTATGATGTTCTGTGATGGTTTTATGATGGTTCTTATGATGGTTCTTGTGATGTTCTTGTGTTGCTGGTTCTTATGATGGTTCTTGTGATGGTTCTTATGATGGTTCTTGTGATGGTTCTTATGATGGTTCTTGTGATGGTTCTTATGATGGTTCTTATGATGGTTCTTGTGATGGTTCTTGTGATGGTTCTTGTGATGGTTCTTGTGTTGGTTCTTATGATGGTTCTTATGATGGTTCTTATGATGGTTCTTGTGATGGTTCTTGTGATGGTCGGGTTCTATATGTCTGTTGTGTATCGTGCACTTTGGGTTCTTTTCTGTTGAATTGTATTTAATTATTTTTAGTATTTTGTATTTGTTTGTTCTTGCTGTTGTTTATGTTCTTCTGTGTTTGGTTTAGTTTGTTCTTGTTTTTGTTTATCAAAGCACTTTGTAAACCTGTGTTTTTAAAAAGGTGCTTTATAAATAAAGTTATTATTATTATTATTATTATTATTATTATTAGATTTTTTGCCTTTATTTTTCTGATGACTTCGTCTTTGACAACAGTCCTATTTCTAGTCTGTACATCTTAGAGGAGTTTGCCAGAGTCGTCCGTACCTGAGAAGCCAACAGCACAGACCATGCTGTAGGACTGATCCTGGGTCAGCTCCGTCAGCCCCGTCAGTTTTTACATTAGTGCTTCAAATATCCGCTCAATGACTACTTTATCATTCTGAAATAATATCATTATTTATTTTATTTTTTTTGTCAAATTTATTTAATTCAAGAAAAATAAACAAACATAAAAACTCAAATTTTGAATGAAAAGGAGCAGAAAGAAGATTAATCTTATAATATCTGCCCCTCTTTCACAAAACATTAATTAAAACAAAACAGAACACTTAATTCAAAAACAATTAAAATTAAATTAAATTAAATTGGCTGCAGGCACAGCCACTGGCAGCCCCATCGTAAGTCCTCCTTAACAATTCATTATGCACCGTACAAAGTCTATCCCAATACATTTTTGTCACAGCATCACGAAACAAAACAGTATCTCACTGACATATTTCCACATATTTATTCAACAAACTGGCTTTAATTTTTCTTTTAAATATCACGTTTGATTTTGATTCTTTAGTTTCTCTGTTGAGATTGTTCCATAAACCGATTCCTTTCACAGTAAAACATCGTTCCCTCAATTTGGTTCTGAATCTCGGTTTATTAAAGTCTGTGTTCCTTTTAAATTAGAACGGCTTTCCCTCTTTTCAAATCTGTTTTTCGGTGTTTTTTGGCAATGGTTTTTGATTAGCTTTAAACATAATTTGCAGAATACTGTAATAATAACCTCTGCTTTGTGTTGTCAGGGCTGCATCGATGCATTACCTTCATCAGAGGAGCTGCAGGAACAGGTAAAGGTACGCATTGATCCAGAACAGCCAGGGTGACGGGGGGTACGTTGTCCAAGCACCTGGAACAGCGGGAGGCCAGGAGCAGCAGGCCCAGATGGGATCCCCTCGGGCGGTTCCGCATTCTGAATACAACCTGGAAGGAGAAAACTAAAAGATTATCCGCAAAGAAGATGAAACTGAGCTGCCCTGCTCTCTGGTAGCAAGAAGGAGACTCACTTTTTAAAAAGAGTTTTCTGGATGATCTGAGGTCAAGGATAAAGAATAAAAGAGTCTGCAGCAGCTGGATTCACCACTTAGACTGAACATCAAATCTCTGAGCCAAAATAAGACAATAAGGAGTCATGGTTCGTTTTATTAAAAAGTCACCAGTGTGCCTTTAAATAGACACCCTAGAATATTATGTGACCCATAGATGCACAAATATTTTGAAAAAGGGTTTCTGTTTATGAAATATCTATTTAATGATTTATTTCCTGATTAAACACGTGGTCACAAACAGATGATGATTAACTAAAATCTCCCTAAAAAACAACAACAAACAACCTGAGCCAGTTCATAACCAAGCAGTAATATTTAAGTTTCTTTTTTTTGTTTTGCAAAACGTCAATTATTAAGTATTTATAACATATCTATAGACAACTGTATCCCCAACATATACATATATATATATATGTATATATACATATATATATATATCTTTAAACTCACTGTGAGTTCAGTCGCTCTTCAGGAAGTTTACAGACCACAGCTGTGAGGGAGTTACATCCGGGATACTCTGGATAATGCTCACACGTCGTCAACAAAAACACATGCAAACTTTTATACAAATCTAAGGTTCACGTCTGCAGAGTTTATTTCTCCGTATTTCATCATTTCTAGAAGACTCCTATCCCGCGGTATCATAAAGCGTAAATTACAGTATTTCCGCTTCCGGGTATGAGTTTTTTCTTTTCTTTTTTTTAAATTTTTTTTATTTAACCAATTGTACCACTCTGTACTTTCCCGAAATCGCACTGCAACTGCTGCGTTTTAATAAGTGATAAAGTATTATTTATCCTACCTGACAACTGTTGGTGGCGGTGGGTAAGCTGTCACATGACCACACCAAAGGTACGCAGTTGGCGCAGGCGCATCACGGATCTAAATGCAGTGAGCGTAATATGGAAAATTTGTGTTTGCTGCCCTCCAGTGGTCAAAAAGAGGAACTACATTATTCAATTCAATTAGCTTTATTGGCATGAATGTGTAAATATATTACCAAAGCATATAATAACAAATAATACAACAATAATAATAATAATAATAATAATAATAATAATAATAATAATAGTGATAATAATAATGATAATAATAATGATAATGATAATAATAATGATAATGATAATAATAATGATAATAATAATAATAGTGATAATAATAATAATAATAATGATAATAATAATGATGATGATAATAATAATGATAATATAATAATAATAATAATAATAATAATAATAATAATAATAATAATAATGATGATGATGATAACATAATAATAATAATAATGATAATAATAATAATGTAATTAAGTCAAATCATTTCTAGTTAGACCAGATCACGTAGTAGTTTTACTTCCAGAAACAAGTAAAGTCTAAATAATATATTACATTTCGTCAAACAGTGTTAGAGGCAAATAAAATAACTGATATAGAACTGTTTTATATCCGTCGACACAAAGCTAAATCATCAGGATCCTGGTGGGATAGTTCAGGGCTTGTGCCCTTTTCTATCCATAGGGTGGGGGGTCCAGTTGTGGCAGCTGAGGCGGAAGGAGGCAGAGGACTCAAGGGTTAGGGTTAGGGCTTACAGGGCACATGCTGACCAAGGAACCAAACATAATTAAATAAATAAAAAATTCAAACAAAAGGGAAATGTGCGCGTGTTTCTATGTAAAATGTATGTTGTCATATAATCTGGGTGTGTGCATGATGTGTGATATATGCTCAGGCAGTGGTGGTTAGCTAGACTTAGACTAAGCCCAGTCAACACAAGCTTATATGAAAAACTCCAGACTTATTCTCGCTCTCTGAAGGTTAGTTAAACCCTATGGTTAAAACATGTTTTCAGTGTTCACATTTCAAGAGGAAAAAGAACTAGTGTGGAGGTAATGTAAGAACACATTTTATTTGAGAGAATAAAATTATAAAAAGACAAAGGCTTGCTGGGATGCTGCTGATGTTTCAGATGCAGCTCAAAATGTTTTTGTTTTTTTATAATCTATGTACAAGATATATGTTTTTAAATCTATGTAAAACCGGAAGTATAATATGTCATGTCACGCACATTGACGTCAACTTGACGAAATTAACGCGTCCACAATAACCACTAGTGGGCAGTAAACTCGCTTGTTTTTAATATGAGGCAGCAAAATGATAACGACATCATGAGCAAATATTAGATTATACTTTATTGATCCCCAGTGGGGAAATGTATTTAGGTATTTATATGGTGCGTTTGTTTCTGTATGTTAAATAGGTTATATTGTTTTTTAGTATTCTACTAATTTTTAAGACTTTTACTTTTATCACCTGCTATGAGGAATATCAAATAGACTTTATCGGCTGATCTGTCCTGGTCTATTAATCAATACTCTATAATTTCTGTAATAAAATAAGAGTTTGTCACATAGGCCTGTATGATGTCATGTTACAGTCGTAGGAGTGAACCCTCTTGCCTCCCTGAATAGTCTTTGGCATCGTTTCCTGGTTAAAATGCAGAACCTCAACGACACCGGGATCATCTTTCTCATTAACAAACTTAAACCTCAGCCCGTTAAAGGATTCTGTCTACAACCAACTCAACCAGTTCGTGCTTTATTCACATTAAAACCCCCAGTTCACCCAGTAACATTCAGCCCAGAGTCTCCACCGCCTTAACTGATCACCAACTGGAGCTGGCGAAGAGGCTGTTGCTATAGTAACAGCGGTAAGAAGACACAGGCGAGGATCTTTTCGTCAAGTCAACCAGAGTCAGATAGACTCATACCGGAACACGCATTGTTCTGTCTTTCAAAATAAGATCATACATGCCTTAAACGTTAACACGAGTAAATAAATAAAAAAAATCAAATGGTTTCTACGTTGTTTAGAGGGGAAAAGCTGATAGAGGCAAATTACATCTCCAAAAGGGAGACTTTAATTTTAATTGAATGCGAACTGCGTAATTGGCTTAATTGAATAGCCTACTAAAACAATTCTAAATGTCAAAAAACGTCTACCAGATAGTGTACAAGATAAAGGTAACTCGCCTAACTTCCGGCACAGAATAACAATGTTTTTCATTTGGGTAAGCCTACATTTCAAACTTTAGAAATAAATCCAATGGGGTTGGAATTTGGGAACTGTGAAATAGTAGACCTACATCTTATGTTAAATCAAGGAAAGAAATGCATGATTTAATTGAGATTAAGTCAACCAAATCTGTTGTAGAAGTGTTGAGATGTAAATTTCAAGATCGTCTGGGAAAAAGTTGTACCCTTATTTTGAAAACGGAAGTTGAAATGGACTGTATAGTATCCAGCTTGATTGCCTACATTGTGCCGGAGCCGGAGCGGGAGAGTAGAGAAGGGGAAGCTGGAGCAGGTACAGGTGTGTGTTTTGTTTGTCTGTTTATGAATGTGGAGGAGACGGGACGGGGCGACGACGTGAAGAAGAGAAGAGACGGAGAGGGCTGAAAGGAAGACGAAGGAGGAGAAGAAGAAGAAGAAGAGACGGATGACAAGAGGGAGAGCTGGGAGGAAAGAGGGGAAAAGAAAAGAGGGAATGATGTCTGAGCGGATAGCTTCGTGTGGGAGCCTGTATGACAGCACCAACCTGCTGCTACAGTACTGCAACAACGGTGAGCAAGCTTCTCCTTCACCTCACCTGACACTTACAGAAAACAACGACCTCTTATGCGTTTTTTAAAATGCAAACAAATTCACCCAAAGATGTGTTGATAAACATTTTTATTGATTTGATAGAAACACGTCCTCACATTGTGGTTGGTGATCTCATGAGAAGCCGGATTGGATGTCGTTAAATTCAAAGGTTTATTTGATTAGCTCAGAGATTATTTTAATGTCAGTTTTTTCTGTTTTTTTTATTTATAATTTTTTTCTGTTTTATTTTAAGCTTTTTAGGATATTTTCCTGCATATTTGTAAGTGAATAATTGTTAAATTAGTGTCATTTTTTTTGTTTTTTATTTTATTTTTATTTTAAGCTTTTTAGGATATTTTCCTGCATAAT